CGAACTCCTGAGCTCAAACAATCCGCCCGCCTCGGCCTCCCAGAATGCTAGGATTACAGGCGTGAGCCACCACGCCCAGCCGCTTTTTTTTGTTTTTGAGACAAGGTCTGGCTTCATCACCCAGGCTAGAGTGCAGTGACTCGATCATAACTTACTGCAGCCTCAAACTTCTGAGCTCAAGTGATCCTCCTGCCTGAGCCTCCCAAGTAGCTGGGACTACAGGCATGCGCCACGGTGCCTGGCCTACTACTCTTTTTTTAACAGTGCTGGCTTTTTATTTAGAATATTCATTCATACATACAAGTAAGATTGGTCTATGATTTTATTTTGTTTTATCAGGTTTTCATATTAATGCTCTACTGGTTATATGAAATGAATTGGCGAGTTTTTCCTTTTTTAAGAATTTGGGATAATTTAAATCACACTGTACTTATGCTTCGTGCAACCCTAGTGCTTCTTAAATTATGGATTTTAAAAATCACTTTCCATTCTGTTCTTTGTAATGGGTCTATTAACATTTTAAATTTCTTCTTGAGTCAGTTTTGGTCATTCATGTTTCTCTAGAAACTTACCAATTCCCTCTAGATTTTCCAATGTGCTGTTATGTAGCTGCATGCAGCATTTTAAAGTGAACATTTTCCTATCTTCATCTTACTTAACTTTATGGTAGCATTCATTCTAGAGTTGAAGACTCTATACTTCTATGTTTTGAGTTTCTTAAATTTGTTGAATGGATGTGATTAATTCATATCTTTAGTGTGACTGTACAGAGAAATGTATAATGGATACTAATGGAAAATTACAGGTAATATGAAAATTTAGTAAATTGGTGACATTTTTATTTTCTCACTAGTACAGGGTTCATCTCTGTAATTATGAAATTGACTATCATTTTGCCTTTTTCTATATTATTTTGGAAAATTACAGCCTTATAATGGAGATCGGGAATTTGTTAACGTTGTGGCTGATCTGACGACAGTGTTCTAAGAAAACAGGGTCACAAATATACTCTGTCGCCATAATTATTCAAAACAGAAATTTTGGAAGCAAAGAATCAAACATTTAAACCAAAGGAAAGACAGAGTGATTTCATCCTTGGCTGGAAGACATGGGGGTGTGTATTTCTGAGCAGATTTTCAAGTCATTCCAGAGCATAACTAATATAAAATTGCACAATGGCTAATAATGTGCACTGTCTACTTTTTATATTAAAATGATGCTTGCTGCATGACTTTACTAAACTCAAGTTCTGCACAGGTAAAACTAGTTGACTTGCTGAACATGATAAAATATAGTTTACAGTAAAAGACTATCATGACAAACTAAAGCACAACTTCAGATGACGCAGTGTAGTTTAAAAAAACAAAACAAAGTAGAGCGGCTGTGGGCATCTGGGCATCTTCTGCCGTCCGGCCTCCGCGCGACACAGCGATCACGCGGCCGGCAAGGCGCCGACGCAGTCACGGAAACCCCGCTCGCGTGGGTTTTAAACGTGATTTCTCATCCTCCCTAAAATGGAGGCTAACACAATTTATCGTGGTTTAAATCGTTCTTGGTTTATTTAGTTTTCCTCATACTTTAACAAATTAAATTATGTAGTAAATTACAGTCATTAAACTTGAAAAAATGTTTCAATTGAATGGAGTAACTTCCTGTCATAAAGCCTCCAAATATCAAGGAATGAGTCAAGATCTTTTCTGTATAAAATTTCCACCTGCATAAACCATGTCAAGCACTAAGCTTTTAACTATTGAAAGTGGAAATTCGTATTACTGAATGCGACACATATTCTGCCTTCTTTTTTTTGTTTTTTTTTGAGACAGAGTCTCGCTCTGTTGCCTGGGCTAGAGTGAGTGCCGTGGCGTCATCCTTGCTCACAGCAACCTCCCACTCCTGGGCTCAAGTGATCCTCCTGCCTCAGCCTCCCGAGTAGCTGGGACTACAGGCATGCGCCACCATGTCCAGCTAATTTTTTCTATATATTTTTAGTTGTCCAGATAATTTCTTTCTATTTTTTTAGTAAAGACGGGGTCTCACTCTTGCTCAGGCTGGTCTCGAACTCCTGAGCTCAAATAATCAGCCCGCCTCGGCCTCCCAGAGAGCTAGGATTACAGGCGTGAGCCACCGCGCCCGGCCATATTCTGCCTTCTTAAATAGCACGTGCTGCTTATCTTGATTCAAATCCACCACTAAACAGCCCTGCATAATTTGATTTGGTGTGTGGGACCCTGTATTAAATTGTCTCAAGCTGCTATGCTTTTAATGTCATTGTAAATTTATTTTTGTTTCCCCTAGCCCTGCTCTCAGCTGTCATATTTTATTGTTTACCTACTTCTGCAGGACCTTGCAATACTTGTGATTTGCTCAGGAGCAGAAACCAGATAACCAAGCTTGTTAGAACTGGGTCTGAAGTAAGAATAAATAGACTCTGAAGATGGGGACCTGAGGAACTCCCTTCTTAATAACATCTCTCCTGGTCTTTTCTAGATGGTAACGTTGCCACAACTGAATTCTAAATGGCTGAAGTGCCCATAGTTAGATGTTTCTGGTAGGTATCAAATAAAATACACACCATTATTTCCTAGGAACTCTGTTAAACAGTGGAGTTTTAAAACTCTTTGTAGAGGAAAAGAGAGTCTGATAGAACATTTCTAATGGAAGGAAGCCTATGGGATCGCGATGAGGAAGGTAGAACTATATAGATCAGCAGTTGGCTTAATTGGCTTCCCATAAACTTATTAACAAATTAGGTTGCAAAATGCAAAAGCAATTTAATGAATCATCCTATGAGGCATTGAACTCGAAGCTGAATTGTAATGTGCTTTTCATAATACAACTTGTTTAATTACTCATATGAATGAATCATTAATAACTCAAGCCTGCTAACATTTTTGGATACCTGATATTTATGTAATGGTGGTGCTCATTTGCTGAGTAAGGCATTAGTAGTTTCCTAGGTAAGCAGGAGAAGCAGCCGTCAAAACAATCATGTGACACAGTTACAACAGGGCTGTTTCTCGAAGGCTCTAGAAACCCCAGCCATGTATTTCAAGAGCTAAGTTACTTCTCTTAGCTGTCAGTTCAGACGCATCTGGTTATGAGACGGCTACTTTTTAAAGTGGACATGATAAAATTCTGTGAATTTACAAGAAGTGATGGCAACTGATAATAATGCTTATGCAAAGGAATTATTAAAACAGCTTGCTACCAGTCCCAGGCTTCTGAAAAATTTGCACAAGTAGGAAAATATGTGGGCATAGCTCTTTATCATATCTTAACAATTGAAAATGTGAGGGGTGAAAAACTTTTATTCTGAGAGTATAACCATGTTATTTGGGGGGTATTAAAATTACCTTTCATGAGAGAATTCATTTTCAATTTTTTAAGTGTTATTTGAGAAAATTAAAAGTCGATAATTTTAGTCTCCACATTTTTAGTAAATTTACCGCCAGTGAAATCTAAGTACGGGAACCACTAGAACATGTATAAAAACATGTTGCTGAGTTGCAGTGAACGATTTTACAAAAAGAAAAGTATCGCATGACCACAGATCAAGATACGCAAACTTTTGCTGAGGGGGACTTCTCCCGAAGTCTTGCGACCAACTGTGGAAAAACAGTTGGTTAATCTGACAGCGAAGTCCACGAAGAGTGTTGAAGAAATAGTCTCAGGAAAATACCCAGAGCCAAAGTGCGAGCACCTTGTATCCCTCCCCACTGACAGGAGAGAGGAAAGGGCAGCGATCTGGACACGCACGTCGTAGACTCTCAAAAACCACAGACTGAGCTCTCACTCTAGCTCTAAAATCCATGCTATTGGTCACGACCAAGTAAAGATCACATAGCAGAACCTACTGACATCACACGTAAAAATTAAAAACCCAAGTACCATGCTTGCTGTAGTGTCTGGTACCATATAGGCGCTCAATGACTATTAGCTTTATTAATGGAAGAAAGATTAACTATGTCTGCCCCTTGTACCTTCATATAAAAAGAAAGCTTAGTGAACTAAATGGATCGTGCCTTCAGACAGACTTAAGGATAGCTATTGATATCCAACGTAAGATGAAACTAAAAAGACTTTCAGTAACATTTAAAAGAATCTCCAGTACGCTTTCTTTGTGAACTTTTTTGCACAGTTGGCCCTTGGACAACACGGGTTTGAACTGGATGGACCTACTTAAGCGTGGACTTTTTTCAGCCCAACTTGGATCAGTATTCCGTGGATGCAGACAGCTGCCCCGCCCCGCCCCCGCAGAGGGCCAACTTTTCGTTTCTGCGGGTTTATGGCCCTGCGGGACGTGAACAAGCATGGATTCTGGTCCCCGCGGGCAGCCGTGGAACCAATCCCTCCTCGTATACACAGGAGGGCTGTATTTTGTTTTCATGGTTAAACTGTTAAAGGATGAAAATGTTCATATAAACACAATTTTGAACACTTAACTATTTATCAGTGTAATATGAATTCACATATACTTTATTTCTAATTGACCTTCAAATTGTAGCAGCCCATGAGGTTAGCCTGTGCTCTTGCCACTTCTTAGACAAACAGCTCAAGATACACACACACACACACACACACACACACACACACACACACACACAGTAAAGAGACACGGGCAAACCTTTTGTAAAGTAAATAAATCTTTTATAATGGAAATAACTGTTCCCAGTAGAACTTTTTATATCCAGTTTACTACTTTTCTGAAATTGGGATATTCATATTAATCAGACAGCAATCTCTGTAAATCAAAGAACGTATGTCTGTGAAAACGAGTAATTCTTGATTACAATAGTTTTCGTAATTCATCTAAACACAATGGAGTGCGGAAGGCCAAAAGGAAAAATAAATACTTCAAACTATCAAAACAAAAGAGATATGAAAAAATAATATATTTAATGGTGTGGAGGGAAAATTTCAAAATATAGATTCTGCTGAAAATAATGACATTCAAAAAAAACAGCTTTGGACACATTGCCAAAATTCAGATTTTTCTCAACTAAAATCAGAAATGTTGATTCTATTGTTGGAAGATACATTAATTCTTTGAAGTCAGAGTAAGAGGCTTGACAATTTAATTTCTATATAAGTGACTGTTTGAATATATAAAGTATCAAATATAAACAGTAGTGTAGCAAGTAGATAAACTGACAGAAATAACTATTCAACCAGTAGTAATAACTAAGATCACCATTTCAAAATCTCCTATACACAAAGAATGAGAAAAGACTGTTGTAAGATTTTACACAATTGAATCCGACCCTGATTCCTGACGACTACACGTCTTTCTTCTTCAGGATTAGCGGCCCCACGTTGTCTCCTGTCAACTCGTTGTGCTTGTTGTGGGAGCCGTCACAGGCAGGAAACTGCGAGAAAACAGGTTACAAGTACCTGTTAAACATGTGATTCATTAAGTGTAAATATCTGTGCATGCGTCATAAAGAAAGCATACCACTTGCTAAAATAAATTCATCAGATGGCTTCCCTGAGTAATATATATTCTACATCTAACCCAACCATATTCCCATACCACAGCAGAATTTTAACAATTTAAATAGTTACTTCATTATTTGAGTTAGATTTTAAATAAAAACTTTTGAGTGACTCAAATAGGTTTAAAAGGGAATCAAAATAAACTCTTGGTCTTTCGTGGAGCTCTAAAGCTCATCTCTTAACTTGTTTAAATTTAAAAAGGAAGGAATTTAAATTGAAAATAAATTAATATTTTATAATTGTTTCTACTATAACACTCATGTATAAAATTTTTGAAAAAAATTAAAATATATTTTTAAAAATTCATTCATAATCCATCCAGATATAGGTAACAATAATTAATATTTTGGTATATTTTTCCTATGCATTTACCATATTCATTTTTTTAAAAACAAAATTGGGATCGTATTATAATATGCTTTTCTTACTTGTGCTATATCAGGGTCTCATGTCATTAAATATTCTTTAAAAACACGATCCGTAATGGCTTCCTAATATCCCATCATTTGTATTGTATCTGTTCCCTTATTATCACACATTTAGTTTCTAAAATTTTGCTATTACAAAGCATGCTGTGATGAACAATATTGTACTTAAGACCTCTACTAGGCCAGGTGTGGTGGCTGGCGCCTCTAATCCTAGCACTTTGGGAGGCTGAGATGTTTGAGGAGTTTGAGGTTGAGTCGAGCTATGGATGACACCACTGCACTCTAGCCAGAGTGACAGGGTGAGATGCTATCCCCAAAACAAAACCACACCATGAAGATCAGACATTAAAAATCAAGTAACTTGGCCGGGTGCGGTGGCTCACACCTGTAATCCTAGTACTTTGGGAGGCCAAGGCGGGTGGATCACTCAAGGTCAGGAGTTCGAGACCAGCCTGAGCAAGAGCGAGACCTCGTCTCTACTAAAAAATAGAAAGAAATGATCTGGACAACTAAAAATATATAGAGAGAGAAAAAAAAAAATTAGCCGGGCATGGTGGCACATGCCTGTAGTTCCAGCTACTCAGGAGGCTGAGGCAGGAGGATCGCTTGAGCCCAGGAGTCTGAGGTTGCTGTGAGCTAGGCTGACGCCATGGTACTCACTCTAGCCCAGGCAACAAAGGGAGACTCTGTCTCAAAAAAAAAAAAAAAAAAAATCAAGTAACTTGCCCAACCAAAGTCATACTGTAAGTGACAGACATCAGATTTGAACACTATTCTTACTCCAAAGCTCCTTCCACTAAACCTTATGTCCTCTGTCAAAAAATAAGTGTAATGTACGTATGTACAATTTATTTATTTATTTTGTTTATTTATTTGTTTGACAGAGTCTCACTCTGTTGCCCTGGGTACAGTGCAGTGGCATCCTCATAGCTCATGGCAACCTCAAACTCCTGAGCTCAAGCGATCCTCCTGCCTGAGCCTCCTGAGCAGCCAGGACTACAGGTGCACACCAGGACGCCCGGCTAATTTTTCTATTTTTAGCAGAGATGGGGCCTCACTCTTGCTCAAGCTGGTCTCAAACACCTGAGCTCAAGCAATCCGCCCACCTCGGCCTCCAAGAGTGCTGGGATTACAGGCGTGAGCCACCGCGCCCAGCCAATGAGTGTATTGTAAGATACATGGTATGCTAGACAAATGCTGAGCATTGTGAAAGCATGAGATTTCTATCCTTCCCTGCTGCTCTAACTTTTCTAACACAAATAGTGTCAATCATGAAATGCAAACTTTAATTTAGGAATCTGGACTCCAATACCAAACACTATGGAAAAAAATCTCTCATCTCATAGAACCTCAAAACTGGAGATTTAAAAAGCACAATTCTAACAACTACAAAATTTTAGTGTATGTGTAAACAGATATCTTACCGTCTTAGAACGCCAACACCTACAATAAGCTGCTTTAGTAAGACACAGATCTTCAATGTTTATTTCATTCACCACTTTTGGATTTTCCTTTTGTATTTTAATATTAATCAAGCTATCCTTTTGTTGTTTTTTCTTCGGGAGGAATGGACGAACTGCAAGGTAGCCAAGTAGTGCGAGTACACCAAGGAAAGGTAGTAGCCGAAGCCATTCTGAAACTAAACACGGACAGATTTGTTAGAATCTGCAGTGCTCCTGTAAAAGAACTTACAATAGCATGTCTGGTTTCATCCTCGAGTTTATTTATCTATTACTTCTCACATTAATTCCTTTTTTAACTTATCTGTAAAGCTATGAATAAATAACACAATCAAGCCAGCTCTACCTAGGACCACCTTATCTATGGGCTAATTTGAGACTTGTGAAACTAGAAACCTAAATTTTCAGAAATTTCAAATATCCTATCTTATTATCCATAACAAGTCTGTGTTTGTCTACATTTCAGGAATTATGATCACTATAATTATAAACAAAATTCAAGGTGTGATGTATTGCACAGGTTTAGAAAACATTTTCGCTCTTTTCTCCTTAATGTCATGTCAAATTCATCCAACAGAATACCTGTAAAATTTTTACCATTGATTTATAATTTAAGACAGAAGTTGCCTTCAATGCTTTAATTTACATTTTTTGGTAACTGTTCTTAAAGAACACGGAAATGTTGTGTAAAAGCTACTGTTTTAAAGAACAAATTGAAACTTTCACATACTTAACATTCAAGTGTTAAAGATACATCTCATTCCATAACCATTCGTTAAAAGTCTTTTGTGGTACTCAGTCTGTCTTAAGAGGACAGAGAATATAAGTGATATCCATGAGATGGTCCCTATGCCCATGGAGACAAATACTCCAGAAGACCAAGATAAACATTTCAACATTTACCAAACGTCTGCTAGTGCCCTGCCTCTGCTGGGCTCTGTAGGGAATCCTTTCCGTTCTTAAAGAGTTATCATTTAGGCGGGGCGCAGTGGCTCACGCCTGTAATCCTAGCTCTCTGGGAGGCCGAGGCAGGCGGATTGTTTGAGCTCAGGAGTTCGAAACCAGCCTGAGCAAGAGCGAGACCCCGTCTCTACTAAAATTAGAAAGAAATTACTTGGACGACTAAAAATATATAGAAAAAATTAGCCGGGCATGGTGGCGCATGCCTGTAGTCCCAGCTACTCAGGAGGCTGAGGCAGGAGGATCGCTTGAGCCCAGGAGTTTGAGGTTGCTGTGAGCTAGGCTGACGCCACGGCACTCTAGCCCGGGCAACACAGTGAGACTCTGTCTCAAAAAAAATAAAAAAATAAAAAAAAAAAAAAGTTATCATTTTACTTCTTTCACTGAGTGCATACCTAATACCTTGCTAGGCAGTATGTAGAAATACTTAGCTGAGAAAAAGAGAAAAACAGGAATATGCCAAAGAATGCTAATAAATGTTAAAAATAAATGTAAAATAGGAATACTATCGATACCTACCAAATACAGTTGTTTGAGCTAACACAGTGTTAAATGAGATAGTACAGTTGTACTCGTAGCATAGTCTATTAAATGAATATGTACTCTTAGGCTATGCTACGAGTACAACTGTAGTAAGTGGGTATCATTACTATTCCCATTTCGTATGTGCAGATTTAGTCTAGGACAGTCTAAATCCAAAGCGTGTTGTCAATTATCATGAATCAAATCCACAGATCTAAAATTAAATCTGTTCCTCTCTTGGTAAAGCTACTCTCATGAGATAACTGTTCTTACTATTTAACTACTGGAAAAAAGCGTTAATACTGACTTTTTCAAAATGGAATTATTTTCGACACACCACTGTGCAAGGAGCTCTAAATGAAACAATCTATGTATATCCCGTATGTATAGCACCTATAAGAGTGCCTGACATAGAAAAGATACACGATAAATGGTAATTTTTATTAAGAGATTATGGAGATTGGTGACGAAGCAGTAGTAACTCCTTTGAAAAAATATTTTGCCAAATCAACTTGACAATGCTATTGGGTGGAAATCTTTGGAGATGTAATCTTCTAGTCATCAGAATGAAAAGAAACTCTGTAAGGGTAAGGGCCTTTGTCATGTTGGCTGTTGTATTCTCATCAACAAAGTGGAGACACTTCATACAGAGTCTCTGAATGAATTAAAGTTCTGGAGATGACACAGAACTGTTTCCTAGGGGAGGAGGGGTCTCCGTATAGATCTGTACTATTTAATATGGAAGCCACTAGCCACTGTTTAGACATGTACCCAAGCTTTTCTTTCCATCAGGTATGACAGGATGATAGACACGTAGACAACTGCCTCAGAAGCAGAGTTTATTACTTACAGTTCTCAAGAGGAGGGGTACACCATGCAACACGGGGCCATGTGGGGAAGCACCAGGTTGGTTAAGAGGAAGAAAGAGGTGATAGAAAATCATGAACACAGGCCTTTATTGTGGTTACCATGGAAAAGGCAAGGCAGGGAAAGGTAAACAGTTTAGTGTTGGCTAGCTTGAATAATTTCAGTGGACTCTGAGCTAAATAAAGGGCTGGTCCCTAGTTACTGGGTACCTACCCGTGGGGTGATTGAGAGCTGGAGAAATACTGGCTTGGTGTGTCAGAGTTAGACAGAGGAAGTAGACGAGGTAGTTGGGGTTATGGGCTTTGGATGGGCTGGTTTGCAATAGGACAGGCATGCTCACAGGCAAGCTGTTTAGTATCTCTAGGAATTAAATGAGCTAGTCCTGGGAGGAGCAGTTTCTCCACAGCCAGCAACGCCCGAAAGATATCAAAGCATCATAAAATACAGAAAATAAAAAACGTGATTAATACACACATGTGGCTATTTACATGTAAAAAAATTAAGTAAAAGTCAAAATTCTATTCCTAAGACATACTGGTCACCTCTCACGGACTCGACAGCCATATGTGGCTAGTGGCTGCCATATTCAAGAGTACTGAGAACTTTCCATAACCACCAAGTTTACTGCAGTGCTGCTAGAGATCATGGCTCTATAATGACCTCCATAGCATGGCAAGGCTACCTTTCCAGCTTCAGCTCCTACAAACATCCCCTTCTCATACACCTGAAGCCAGCCACAGCTTTTGCCTAGGAGCAGCCACCCTGAGTTCTTTGGAGTTCCTTCTATCTGCAATGCTTTTGCTACCTCTGGTTTATCTACCTAATTTGGATGGACCCTTCAAAAGACGAGGGTCAAATATTACTTCCTCCTGAAGTCTTCCTCAAGACTTCACGACGCAGAATTAATCGCTTCCTCCTATGCTTCCAAGCCCCCTTCCTCATGTTTCTGCTGTTACACTACTATAAAATTATTTGTTTCTAAAGTTGTCTATTCCATAAGGTTGTGAAGAAAGGGGGCTGTGTTCTACTCTTCCTGGCACAAGTTGATGCCTCATAAATGTTTAATGAGTGACTTAATGAATGAATGAATAAGCACAAATGTCAGTCACTTTCCTACTCCCCACATTATTCTGTAATTTGTATTTACACTTATCTTCTAGATCAGGCAATGAATGTCTTAGCTTGATTTGGCCCCAGAATCCAGTATGTGCCTTGAAACAATAGTCATCCAGTGTTTGTTCAATGTGGAGTAACACTGTTATTCTATACATTACAGTATTAAAAAGTCACAAGAGGCCAGGTGCGGTGGCTCACGCCTGTAATCCTAGCACTCTGGGAGGCTAAGGTTTGAGCTCAGGAGTTCGAAACCAGCCTGAGCAAGAGCGAGACCCCGTCTCTACTAAAAAAAAATAGAAAGAAATTAATTGGACAACTAAAAATATACAGAAAAAATTAGCCGGGCATGGTGGCGCATGCCTGTAGTCCCAGCTACTCGGGAGGCTGAGGCAGGAGGATCACTTGAGCCCAGGAGTGTGAGGTTGCTGTGAGCTAGGCTGACGCCACGGCACTCACTCTAGCCCGGGCAACACAGTGAGACTTTGTCTCAAAAAAAAAATAAAAAGTCACAAGAAGTTAAATGACCAAAACAAATGAATAGAAATGTAAAGAAAAAAACCTTTAGACTTGCACTACTCTAAAAAAATACAATAATGAGAGGTAGTATTACCTCCTCCAACAAAATAATAACTTATAAAAGTCTTAGGGCAATCTATTTTTAAAGATGATCAACTATAATTAAACTAATGAAAAGCTTTATAAATGAAAGCAATATAGCCTGTAAAGCTCAATTCAAATCACTTTAAGTATACTTATTAAGGCTGATTTTTTTTATTGATACATAGTAATTATACATATTTATGGGGTACATGAGATCTTTTGATACATGCATACAATGTATATTGATCAAATCAGGGTAATGGGACATCCATCACCTCAAACATTTATCATTTCTTTGTGTTGAGAACATTCCAAATCTTTTCTATTTTGAAACACACAATAAATTACTGATAACTATGGTCACCTTATTATACTACTGAACACTAGAACTTATTCCTTCTAACTCTATTTTTGTACCCACTGACCAACCTCTTTTCATTCTCCTACTGCCAGCCTTCCCAGCCTCTTATAACTACCATCTACTCTCCACTTCCATGAGATCCACTTTTTTAGCTCTCACATGAGAGTGAGGACATGCGATATTTGTCTTTCTGTGAATTAAGGCTGATTTTTAGTGAAGAAATATAAAATACGGAAGAATCAAGCAAGAAATTTTTTAAAATCTTTTAAGACAGGCTATTTCCTATGAACTTGTTTGATATATGTTCAGCCATTACAGATATTTTAGATACTTTGAAGGGGAAAATATTACCTAACTATAAATAATGTATAAAATAAAGTAATATATTTAACACAGCATACATTTTTATTGTTTTAGAATTAAAAAAAATAACATTATATAAAATTTGGAAAATCTAGAAATGTATAAAAAATAAAGCTACTTATAATCCTACCAGCAAAAGATAACATTTTGGTGTATTTATGTCCTTTTTGGGGAGGGATGTAAATACATATACCATAAATGCTTAAAAAAAAAAAAAAGGCTATAGGCTGGGCATGGTGGCTCACATCTGTAATCTCAGCACTTTGGGAGGCAAAGACAGGATTGCTTGAGGCTAGGAGTTTTGCCGCTTCATAAATTAATATTACTATATTAGAGACACAAATGATCTCAGGAGTTTTGCACGGCTTTGCCCCGAAGGAATATGTGAAC